GTTCGCAAAATCGATGTACATCGTACAATGTGATATTACACAACCGATGGATTGACCTGGTTGCAGCAGTTTCGATGTAATATTCAACAACTTTTTTTTCTGTGTAAGAACCAATTTGCGATCGGAATCTAAATTCAACTTAGTAAATGTTAGTTTCAAAAAAATACTACTGTGTGAGGAAATGTAGGTTGAAAATGTGGGTTGACTGAACTGTGCTCTTGATTATTCAATTAATACTGATGTTTCTAAAATTAATTTATGGGATCGTTCAACCACAGACAAACAGACATAACACATTGAATATTTTTCAATATAAAACATCGTCGCTAAAACAATACCGCCATCTGTTGAGTATACTGTGATGGGCAGTGTTGTATACCTGCACATTTCACGAGATACCAAACGTCAATTGACGAAACTATGTTTATAAACCTTAAACTGGCAGCACGGCCAGCTGCATAAAAACACATTGAATACATAGAGCTGAGCTCAGTTTACTCTGGAAGTACAACAAAAACGGTGACCTTTTATTTCGGTTCAGCAGTCCGCCTAACTTGCCCTTTACTTAGTTTAGACGTACATAAAAGTGGCGACGATAGCAAAAAAAAAAAGAACATTCGCGTGCAATAGTGGGGTCACGAAAGTGAAAGTGAAGTTTTAGGAGAAAAAAAAAAAGAATCTTAGTTGTGCGAGGTGTGTAGCTGTCATACGGCAGTGCACTATCAACGACGGCGACAGTGCCCACCTACACCAGGATTATTCCTCCGTTTGGGTTACTGCGCTGAAGGTCCAGCGAAAAGTGCTCCGGGCGGCAGCCAATTAGTTTATCCCTAGTGTTCATATCAGAGAGTGTGATTATACGGAGGCCGCTAAATTAATCAAGGAGGAAGCAACGGCTTTTAGTGGTGGAAAAGCTCCACTTGTGCGCAGCAGGAAGTTCTGCAAACCCGTTCCGTTGGTGGCATACTCGGAACGTGGAGGTCAGCTGAAGGTTAGCGGGGACATTTTGGATTCGTTTGGTACAAATTGGAAGCGTAAGCGCGATGGCGCACCGTTCTCAGCTTAGGCCGTACCGGGAGGTTGTCTGGGACTTCCCGAACTTGGTAGTGACGGTGAATACACCACGAACGGACACGAACTGTGAACCCGACAGTACTACGATAGAGGAAGCTAGTGATAGAAGAGCAGGAGACGACAGATCCGACGAGGTTAGGGCCCCAAAGGGGGGAAGAAAAAGGAAGCAGCTGGGAACAAAGGAGGAGGAACCAAGAAGGTCAAAGAGGGCAAGAAAAGAAAAAAAGCTCGAAGATTATTAATACGACTAAGGAATTGTATAAATTGAATCTTCAGTTGACAATGGTCAATTTTTTAATATAGAATTTGTTAACTTTCGAAAGGGGAAGAATTGTTGTATACCTGCACATTTCACGAGATACCAAACGTCAATTGACGAAACTATGTTTATAAACCTTAAACTGGCAGCACGGCCAGCTGCATAAAAACACATTGAATACATAGAGCTGAGCTCAGTTTACTCTGGAAGTACAACAAAACGGTGATCTTTTTATTTCGGTTCCGCAGTCCGCCTAACTTGCCCTTTACTTAGTTTAGACGTACATAAAAGGCAGTACGCTGAACAGATGGCGGTAGTGTGTAAACGTCAAACGCAAGGGAATTGAATATGCGCACCACTGGTGGTGGTACTACCAACAAAAAAAAAAATAAATTTACCGTTAAATGCGTGTTCGTTGAACAACTTGCGCGAGTTATGTCTGTTTGGCTGTGCTTCAACCATTTGTTTTATTTTAAAGAAGCTTGAAAAATGCTCATGGTGGGCTGTGAGTTTATAATATTTCTCAATGCGTTTAGAAGTTTATAATATTTCCGATCTATAGATGTAACTATTGGACACTTTTTTTTATTATTTTAAAGTCGCTATTTGGTCACTATTTTCGTTATTTTAGCCACTAAAGTCACTACTACCTACTATGGCTGATACCATTTAATATCTTGCAGCTGTCTTGCAATGAGCACTCATACGTCAAATTTTCACCGGCAAGCGTAGATTTGACTTTTGATATCAAGCCTATATTACAAGAAAACTTCAGACGGAAACAAGTGCCGTTGCCAAGTGGGCCGAAAATACTGGGTTTCAACTCTCCGCTAAAAGCCGAGGTCGGTGGGATTTTTCTGAGGCATAAAAATCTCTGGTCACGTCTTCTTTCGGAAGGGAAGTAAAGCCGTTGGTCCCGGCCCATGTGTGTTGAATGGGTGCAATATCCTACGCAGGTGTGGAAGCTGCCTTCCTGCACATTCGATTGCCGTCAATGGATGGCAATCGATGTCTGTCGGTGATTGGCACTAGATTGCGGAACAGAGACCGACGTTAAATAAAGGAAAGAAAAGAAGAACTCTCCGCTAATAATAGTGCAATAACCTACCTCTGCGTGGGTAAGCACCATCCCTGGAAGTGGCCCATCTCAATTGACGGGGAGGAAATACCCTACAAATAGCAATCTCGAGTCCTCGGTGGTCTTCTCGATCGCCAGCTTAGTTTTAAGCCACATTTCACAGCAGTTAGTCCTAAATTCGGCTACTGCGGGTTATCATCAGTCGCCATCAATGTAAAGGCCGGCGCACAATGGATAAGTTTTCTGGTTTTTTGACAGTTAGCCCATGCATTATCTGTCAAAAAAAAACCCGTAAACTTATGCATTGTGCGCCAGCCTTAATAACCAAGACATTGCACTTCGAATCTCCAAGCAGACTTCTCTACTATAGTTGTTATATTCATAGTCTGGCGGATAGAATTTCGATCTATCAAAAAGCGGAACCAATTCAATATATCGCAGACCAACAATTAAAAAGGCACTTTACTTTTATAAACAAAAATTGATTATTCTTTCCTCTCCAATCGAACGCAAATTACAGGCCTCATCGGATAGGGGAAACTATCCTCAACCCAAAGGTGGTGTTAGTTAGCGTAGGCGAGCCTTGAGTTACGAGAAAAAGGTTTCCGAAGTTTTGTTTACAATAGCTTATGTGCTCTTTTCTGTTGTTGGTCATGATTTACTCGATTGGTTCCGCTATTTCACAGCTCAATTGGATTCCGAGATTCTATCCGCCAGACTATGAATATAGCGACTATAGTGCGGCCGACTTGATGGTCGCAATGCTGGGACCGGTCTACAACGGTGTATCAGGGTTACTCCCATCCACTCCGGAAAAAGCTGCTTGCATCGAAAGCGGTGTTCTTCCCTTTAGGCATCTGATGACCATCGCCTCCTGTTCCAAAGCAGTTAGCTTTCTTTAACGCACCATCGGTGAGAATGAGGGAGTGTTCCTCCTCACGGAGACGAGCAAACTCCTTCGATATCTGACTAATCAAGAGCACCCTTTAGTTTCTGACGGTCACTGGGTAGGAGACAGAGGTTGGAACTCTCCTCAATTGAACATCGACTGGACAATGAAAAGGAACTTCAGAGCTGGAGCAAACTTTATTCATCTTCACAAAGCATACCTACCATTCATTGCTACCAAGCTTACCAATCTCCAACTCATATTCATTGATGGCTCTAAAGCACTTGGTCACGTAGGAATTGGGGTAATCGGTCCCAATATAGCCTACTTTCATCGCCTACCTGATACCTACTCTGTGCTCACAGCCGAAGCTGTCGCCATACTTTTAGCTGCCTCTGAAGCTTCATCGTGTCCTACGGTAATCCTCTCCGACTCAGCAAAGTGTACTTTCAGCGCTCGAATCTTCAAAGAATCGGTACCCGTGAATCCAAGCTATGCACAATGCGGCTAATAACAACCATCGATTTGCCTGGATACCCGGACACTGCGAAATAGATGGAAACAAAACTGTCGACCATCTGACGTCAGTCGATCGGAAGTCAAGTTTGTTTACCAATGAAACGCCAGCTGACGACATCAAAACATCGATCATCCAAGATGCTTGGGCCCGAAGCTGGCAACAAGAAAGATGGCTTTTTTGCGAAAGGTGAAGTGCGCTGGAAAGACCAACGAATCCTATCGCGTCTAAAAACGGGTCACACTCGAGCCACCCATGACTATTCCTGAAGTGCGAGAAGTTCTTAGTAACGATCCCTCATACGGATCTGCCTTGATGTGCTTCTTGAAAGACATCGGACTCTACACACAAATTTGAAAAACTAATCTTCTGTCCACGCTATGAGCTTTCAAATTCCAGAACTGATCATCCTGCAAACACCTACCGGACGACTCTCCTAACTAATATCAATATTGTTATCATCATCATCACAGCAACCTACAGCACCTGCCAACGTTCAACAGACTACGATTTTGTTTAACATTTTTATAATATGTAATTTACCATGGGCTAAGTACTGTAGCCAGTGGCGTCCCGTAATCTTACTTTTTACCTGTGCACCAACTTTCAAAACCAGATTTAATGTCATATTCATACTCGGTTCGGTTGAAACATACACTTAATCTTCCAGTTTACTCGATATCTATCCATTGCAAGCAATGTTTTGCTAATTGATGTTTTGAGAGCTGGTAGATTGAGGTTAAGGAAACGCCACTAACTGTAACCATTGATTATTCAATTTCCAAGGGAACCTCACTGGATCTTTCAAACGCCCTCTCTCTATTACCATTAAATCATTAAACGATGAACCAGCCTGCGACTAAAAATCTCAATAATAAAGAGAGAGGAAAAACCTATATTACGTGTTACGAGCTATAGTTTTATACTACTGGAGTTGGCCGTGTACCCCTACTGTAGAGGCTCGATCAACATGACAGCAATCCACATTTCCTTATTAACATCGCCGGCAGTTTCACTAGTCTCACCAATATTACAGTTTTTGACCTTTATGATCATGGTCATTGGTGAGATTTGATTTATTGAAGAGACCATTATCTTACAGAAGCGTCTCTGGAGCAGCACCGAGTGCCCAGAATACCTGAATGAGGGAGTTCTTTTTTTTTCACTGATATATAATAGTGTGTCACAATCAATGGTGTTTATTTTCAGCACTTTCGTTTGTTTGGGTGATAAATAAATGCATGATCTTTCACTGTAAATTACGCTAACAATAACTTAAAACATGATGATAATAATGATAACGAGAAGGATATCAGAATGAAAACTTTTTTTGTTTTTGACTTTCAAATACCAAAAGCCGACTAAAAACATGAATTGCATCTGTTGTATACCTCACCAGCCTAATAGTTGCACTTTCTAAAGTCATACTCTAAAAAAAAATTGATGTATCATAATTTCACTTCATGTCAATGGTCAGCAGTGCGTCTTCCGGGTGAACCTCGAGTAGCGCCTTTGCTCCGTCGTTAAAATTGTACGCAATACTGCCATCTATCACTAAGCCTGTTGAAAAAACACAGAGGGCACAGCTATATTAGAGCACGGCACGACAAGTTTAAAGGTTCAAGCTACTCACTTGCATCAATGCACCTAGACTTAACCGTAATCTGCTTGGCGAAACCCCTCGATTCCAGTCCTTTGGGATTGGGCCAAACCCCAACACAGATCTGCTCCCGAATCGAGTAGCACAGCCGTGGGTCGTCCGGTGGGTAGACCAGATTCTGATTGTACTCCTCGGACACCGCTGCCGGGTCGATTCCGTTCAGGGAACTCGACTGCGATCGTCGTTTGATGATTTCGATGAGGTCCTTTACGTTGTTCGTCGAAAGGCGGTTCATACTCGTCAGCCACGATGTGGATCCGGTGCCTGTACTGACGCACAACCCGGAACTCTTGGTTTTCGTAACCACGTCCGATTTGTCGATCCGCAGGTGCAGATGGGACACCCGCGCCGATAGCATTTCCCCGATGAAGACCTAAGGTAATATAGAAGTCAGTTAATGTCAGTTAAGCTCATGCCAGTTTACAACCGTACCTCGTTCAACGCTAAATACGGTAGAATTCTATTGTTGCTGCCTTCCTCGGAACCATTGGTCACTTCCTTGTGTTCAACTTGTGCTACATTGTATTCGTGTAGATCGATCGGTGGTGGCCGTTCCGTCGTCGTTGCTCCTATCAGAGTGATTCTGATTCGCGATCGGTGCATCCAATTGAATTCGCCGGCTATGATTCGTTTGACCGCCTCCTCGACATTGCTGGAATAGTGCTTGGGCAGCATAAGCCTTCCCTCAGATCTCCTGGGATCGGAATTGAATCCCACCACGGGCATCTTGTTCGGTCCGTTCAATATGAACGGACTTGCTCGTCCGGCTGCCAACAGGAACGTCCCATCGCCCCCAACCGGTACCAGCATATCGGCCCATCGCAACAAATGCTTGTTGATCGTTAGCCGATTGACCACCTTCACTTCAATTCCTTGCTCTCGGAACGATTTCACAACCTCGGCCTCCACATCCTTGTGCAGGTGGTGGTAGTATTTCATCGCATCGTAGTCGGAACCACGATTGCGAATTTTGTGCTCCAACCTTTCATCGCTGAGGGCTTGGTCGCGCGTTTTCTCGAATTCTAGCCGCGTTAGTTTGGAAACGACCAGCACTTTTCGTAGCTTTGCCTTTGGGTTCGTTCCGAACGTGCGCAATGTTATGACACCTTGGAGTACATTTTTGCAACCTGTTGATTGAAAGGCGACGTGGCTCGTTAGATAAGCATGTGGTAATAGCTGTGTTTTAACCCAGAGTAAACACTATTGGACTAGTTATTTAGTAAACTTAGTAAGACTTAGGCAAAGACCGATTTGAACCATTAAACACTTCGAAGTGTCAATGAAATCACAACGACAGAGAGAGAAAGAGATCTAATTGATGCAGTTTTGAAGATTACCTTCGCTGTTACTAGAACCGGGGTGTTCCAGATCAGCATCCATGGCACACGGCACGCACACCACTCGCCTTTGTTTCTTCGGCTATGCATGATATAAAGTTAATAATATTGAAATTATTATTTAGTAAGTATTGAACTGTACATTGGTATAATTTCAAATTATTTGGGAGATCCGGACGGCAATTCAACACAAAACTCGAGCAACATGTGAAAAGGACCTACACGTAAACAATGAGTTTGAACGATTGCTCACGAATCACAACACGTTTGCGTGGACTTCCTCTACCAGATGTTGGTCATTTTTTTACATGTGACACATAGGCCCTTTTCACATGTTGCTCTAGAAAAGGTTGTTCACTGAAAAACTTGAGACCAGAGCAGATGGCAGCGTAGAAGAACAGGGGACGGCCACCAAGAATGCCTCTGACGAGGGCAACCGGGGTGAGCTACAAACTCAGAGCAGAGGGTGAAAAACCATGTGAAAGATTGAGGATCGTAGAGGATAGAGCGGACGAGAATCAAAGGAACAAAGAACGAAGCACATCAACGGTCTAGAGAAGGAAGTTAAGCCCGCCTGCAGACGAGAAAAGCAAGCGTGGGTGAACTCTCTGGCCGACGACAGGCAGACAATACGTAATAACTGGGGATATCCATATCATGGTGGTGATAAAGCTTTGTCACTATATCGACGAGGAGATCGTCTCACTATCCCTCTCCAACTGGGGTGTTTGGTAAAGCGAGATGATCAACCTGATTCGTACCTTCCTCAAAGTTGTCCTTGCTCACTTTCTACTTTCTATATACAATTTTCACACTGCCGTACTCTAAAGGTCCACGCACATTAGATCCGGATCGGACGCGTTGCGGTGAAATGACTGCTAAATCTATTGTCAAACTGTCAAATTAACGTCAACGCAACGCAAACGGATCTAATGTGGGTGGCCCTTAACGGAACATCAACTCTATACTTTCATTTCCTCATCTATCGTATAAAATGCCAATTAAAGCCTGTTATTTGACGCTTAGCATCTGCAACTATATACTTTCTTCTTCTTGTTGTTCGCATTTCAAGCTTATTGCTTAGCGCATATTAGCTTATTGCGTGCTCTCAAATTAGTGTTCTAAATGCACTTCTACAGTTATTAATTGAGAGCTTTCGATGCCAAGACCAATGCATAAGTTTGTATATTGTGTGACAAGCACAATGATACTCTATGTCCAGGGAAGTCGAGAAAATTTCTGCCGTTATACGCATAACAGTCCCACGGTGCATAAGGATTGCATAGAACATGGGACAGTTATGCGTATAACGGCAGTATACCTATGTGTTGATATAAAATAAGAGTGACTTCCGGCCTATGCCGCTAGTACCACACCCAAATCCAAACTCAGTGCCTTTACATAAGCGTGCTGCGACATGGCTATCGAATAAAATATATACAGGTGTAATACTGGTACTAGCGGCTGGAACTTTGGTACTCCCAAGCCATGGTTCATTAAAAAAGGAAGGCTCACTAATCCACAACGCCCGCCCATGACAGCACACTGCCACGACATTAGGTAGAGATGCCAGCCGTAAACCCACCGTCTCCAACGCTCCATTATGGCATGAGGTTAAGCCCTCCCACCAACGCGTCTAGGTGCAAAAACTAGTCATGAGGAGGGTTCCAATGGTTCCAATAGAGCAGTGCACGGTCCCTAGCCTCACTTTTTGGTTCCAATCATTTTGTCTCTGAGTAAAAGAGATGGCAACGAATGGGAGCCAAAACTGTCAAAATTTACGGGTGAAAGAAGAGTGCAGCAAATCTTCGTGCACTGATCTACGGAAAATACGTTTGAATCAAAAATATTCACGTCACTATTATGTGGCTCACCACACTCAAACACATGCATTTCATGTGTGAATCTTATGATATTAATTGATTTCTGAGCACTACAAAGCTACTTGTGACACATTTAGATGTTATGTGTCTCACTTATTGATGTTAACAGTCTCACTCACTACCGTAAAATGATCTATTCTTGAAATTATACTGTAAATAAATCCTGAAGAATAAAGAAATGAGTCTAAACAAAATCAAACACAATTCCTTTTAAGCGATTTTCAGAGTTGGTTGGAAATGCTTACATGAAGCTTTAGTGTGATGATTTATTAGCTAGAGAATGATCTTTAGAAGAGGGTAGGTGGATAGTTCCGTTAGAGCACGGCAGTATGAAAATTGAATAGAAGTTGAAAATGAGCGAAGGGCCATTAATGCGACAGTTTTTTGAAGATAGACGCACATCTTTTGCCTAACCCGTACGATGTACGCGGAGACTTGAAGTATGTCTCCAAGTCTACAGGCAAAAAATGTGCGTCCCTCCTTTGCTCATAAACTGACTGCGGCTGTGGAATAGTTCTAGCGACGTTTTCATCACTACCTAAAGTTGGTCATGACGAGAGGAGCAACACAATAGTTGGGTAAAGAAGAATTGCATTATAACACACCATCGACTGGAAATGCTCTCGCAACGTGGGGCTTTAGGTAGTGATGAAAACGTTATAATGAAACTACCGGAATATCTCTAATCAGCTTTGAAGGTCTCTAGACTTTCTTGAAAATTACGAAATTTCTTAAGCACACAATTTTCATGAATTTATTGTAACATCAACATTGAAGTTCTCTGATCTTCCGATTTTTCTAATTTTTAAAAGTTATCGACACTGCCATTAATAAGCACGGAACTTCCAATAAAATGTTCTCACAATGTGCTTATGTTCATGTAACTTCCCTTACGTTTCTTAAATTTGCATTAACCCCTCGGAACATTGATGAAGTTTTCGAAAATTGCCTGAGTTTCTCGCAACTCCTTTAAAATTTCAGCGATTTCCTTGAAATGTATTGATCTGTCCTGACGTTCTCGGAGTTTCCTAAAGTTCTCTCAATTCTCCTGAAACTAATGGAACTGTTCTAAAACCTTAAATTTTCCAGAAGTTCTTTGGACTTGTAAAGTATTCAAAATATTTATGATGTATCCTTAAGTTCACTGGAGTTCGCTTGACCGGGTTTTAGAATTTGAACAGAAGTTATTGAAACATTCTTTAATTTATCGAAACTTACTCAAAAGTCTGAACTTTTCCGATGTTTCAGAACTTCTTAAAAGTAATTATTGTTTATAATAGAATCAAGACAAACAAACTAATTTTACTTTACTATCTTGATTATTTCAGCCAGGGTGGATCAGTCTGTTTCTGTTTAATCTGACCTCGAAACACAGCAACAAGAAGTAGATCAGAATATTTTTTTGAATCAGATCGAGTCCCATTCTGGTGTCCGAGAAGGAGAACACGATCCTCAGTTGGGTATACTTTTGGCGGACAAGGCAGTGTTTCTTTCGTCGACGGGAACTGCATGGAATCACCAAAACCCAGTAAGCTTAATGCAGCAGCCCAAAATTCAAACAGTTGAACTACGGTGTGCGACAATATAATATTAAAATAATGTTTATGTAATTAAAAGTCATATGCCAATACCTATCTCTAGATAGAGCTGGAACTAGGGCGTAACAGCTTTTGTAAACAATGGCTTCTCTCGATGATTTCTCGAAAGGCACGACTCTCCCTGGCAAATCAACATTACCATCGAATAGGGAAAGACTTCCCCTAACCGATGGATATGTTGGTTTGTGTAGGGGGACCTTGAGTTGCTAGAAATCAACGAGAGAAGTCATTGTTTACAAACGCTGTTACGCCCTAATTCCATAGAGGTAACTCTAATAGTGCGTTCAGACTACAGAGTTATAACATGTTATAGCGCTATCTTGATGGTGGTTTCTGTGTTACAATTAGTTGACAACCGTTATAACATGTTATAACTCTACAGTCTGGACAGCGTTTAAGACTAGTAGGTCCCGAAAATCGTGCTCAACTTTTTGGCTCAGCTCTGGTACTATCTTCGGTCCCAAGCTAATCGATTCACCCCTCGAAACAAAGGAAAATCCACTAACGCCTCATTTTATCTGTCAAACTTTCATAGCAAATCAAAACAAACATAGTGTAGTACTAGAATTTCGACTAGAATAGGGAACATTAATCGTTTGCTTGGGACCAATAGGCTAGTCAAGTAGTGAGCCAATTTAAAATCGTTAGTTTCGTATTGATTGTTGCTAATTCCAGCTCTATCTAGATCTGTCATTTGATTTTTTGCTTCAGTTACCTAAATTATCTCTGATCTGCCAGAAGAATAAAAAAAACAAAATACTTGACAAACTAGCTAATCGTCATGAAGTCATACGGTTATTTGAATAATCTCTGACATAGCGGACATAGGGATTATCTGATCGAATAGTTGATCAGTAGAAGGTCCTCTGAATAATTAATCAATCTGAAACCTTGTAAAATATCCAAGTGATCGTCTCTGAATTTGCATTAACTTAAAAAAAAATTGGGAGCAATTTGAAGAAGTACCATGAACCGTGGGGAAATGACGAGAGCTGCGGAGACGAGTTATGATTATCAGAAAAACTGCCGGAGCTTAAGGACAGTTCCGTGAATTTTAGGGTAGACCATAGAATTCTAATATATTGAGAAGTTAAAATAACTTCTGGGGAGTAAAGATATCTTTAGGGAAGTTGCAACTATCGGAAAAGTATAAAGAACTTCAAGAGAATATTCAGACAACTTCGTACATTTCAGGAAAATGTTGAAAACTTCATCGAAGGTCTAGAGTAGTTTTTAGGAGAATTTCAGAGTAGTTCTGACGAGAGCTTAGTTCTGAGGAGAACTTCATGGTAGTTCTGAGGAGACCTTT